CAAAAAAATTTAAAAATCGTACATGAAATAGATCCAAATTTCACAATAATCCGATTTCATAATCAGCCGTGACAATTTTTAAATGTACAAAAAATCTTTGTTTGAAATTACGACGCTTTGCATCTAAAATTAAGCGTTTTAGGTGGTATAAAAATTTAGGTAAAAATCTGTGGTCAAAAATATAGTTTGGCAAATTATTTTTTGCAAATAGCAAAAGACGAAATCTAAACGAAAGAAGAAATCCCCGGAGAAATTGCGAAATACCCGGCGAAATTCGAAACCATTAATGAATTCAAAACCTTTAGCGAAATTCGAACGCTCAGTGAAATTCGAAACCCCGATGAAAGTTGAAATCTAAGACTCTTTAACGGGCTGAGATATTCTGATAAAAAAAAAAATTTTTTTTGTGTCGTTGTATGTAAACATAATATGTGGCTTATATAAAGAATGTACAAAGCAATAAGAACTGAAACTTTTGTTTGTATAAATCGACTCAGCCTAGAAAATTTAAAGCCTAAATCTTGTTACATTTTAGTAGTCACATCTATGTATTAGCTTTGAATTATAATTACCCTTAAAAATTAAAGCCTGGAATCTTGCTTTAGGACTAAAATTATTAGCCGAAAAAGCACAATGATGTTACAAGAATCGGGCAAGAATCGGATAATGTACATATTTGATTTTTACATTTATCTATATGCACGATCCACCTTTACTATACTATCTTTAGAAGTTTTTGATCACTTTAATTTATTAATGTCACCATAAGCTTTAATAATTTCTATAAAAACTTTACTGGTTTCGCATACCAATTTCGTACACCTCTATCAATAACGTGTCCACCCCAAGTAATAAATATCAATTAGTAAATATTTAAAAGTAGGTCCGCTTGATAGGGTTGTACGAAATTGGTATGCGAAACCTGTGCTATAAACTTCTTAATAACTTCATGTATTATGATTATACCTTCTTAATAATTTCATGTATTATGGTTATACAAACTAAATTGTTAACACAAAATGATACTAAATATCTTGTAAGCATAAATAGTTTATTTAAATTTACGCATCCATTGTTTATTGTCTTGATTTTCATTAAGAAGCCCAAGTAAAGCCATGGTAGAATTTGTTAACACAAATGGATAATACGATGTTAAAGCGACATCAGATGGATTATCAATTTTACATTGTATAATAGGTTGTGGGTGAACACTGTATGATATGATCCCTTCATTTTCAACTTGCAATGCAATCTCATAATCAATCGGTCCTCGTGGATTCATTGGATCTATCGCTTCTAATATCTTGCTGGCACCAGATTTCGAAATTCCATAAGCATGTGCACATTGTGGTTGCATTGATTTGTACAATTGGTTTGGAAATGAACTATTGCCTACAAGTTGACCTCTCGTTTCATAACAATGGCCTAGGAATAACGTATCCCAAGATTCTGGTAAATTACGATGGATATCAGTCATAATATCGGTGATATTACTTTCAAAGTCCACATCATCTTCTAGAATTAAAACGTTATTAAAGCCTTTATCAATTACTGTATGATAGACTAAATAATGAGTAACGTAACAAGCTCTTTGACCAACGGTTACTTCTCCATTTTCATTAGCATACTTTTGAAGTATTTTATCAAATTTAGAAACGGCATCAAAATATTCAACGTCCAAATTAAGATAGGAAACTAATTTGTCCATTTTTTCCCGTCTGTCTTCTCGGTAATTAAGATGAATAACATAAATATGTTCGAATCCAAGTGTGCGATTCGAAGGTTTAATTTCTTTTAACGTGTTACCGAACCAATTAGATATATTGAACATATCGAATAAATATATATATATTAGGATTGCACATAAGAAGAAGATATAGAATTTTAGCATCTTTCGAGTATTTCTTATCATTTCGGCGACAGAAATATTAATGTAAATACTATAAAAAGAAAAAAAAAGGTGCTAATTTTATTTAACATTTTTTACATGGGAATATATATTTAGAGATCATAATATGAGGTCGTAATACAGTCAGTCCACCCTAAATGCAACCGCCCTAAACGCAACCGCCCTAAACACAACCACTCCACCTTAAATACAATAACCCTAAATGCAGCCACCCTAAATGCATAGTCTATGAAAAACCTCTCTAAATGAATGGTTTTGTTTGGCCCCAACTCATATAATACATATAGATTTTTAGCTCCCTAAATACAAGAGGTTTTGATATTTTTATATAGGCTCCTCGGTTATGCATTTAGGGAGGTCTGACTATATGTTTAATTCTCAGTGATACGTCATGGACTGTGGTAAGGAATACATAAACTTTTTTATTTGAAGCATTTTATCGACGACCATTTGTCAACAAATCATCTAGTCAACATCACGTGACAATCCACAAATATATGAGTGCCGCACAGCTAAAACCTGCAATTGTTGATTTTCTAAAATCTCATTTTACAGAAACGGGCTTATCAACACATGATTCAATATTATATAATTAAAGAATTTATCATTTATCAGAGGTCTGATCAGCGCTTTCTGTAAAGTGAAATTTCCGAAAATCAAGAATTACAGGTTTTAGCTGTGCAGCACTCATATGCTAAAACTTATACCAGTACGATCACATGAAATGTGGGAGGGATGGTTCCGTTCAACTTTTTGGTGGCCTATATTTTTTCCTATTTTAGAAAGTGTTATGGTCATCATGTTTTTGCTTATTTAGGTATTATTATGATAATCATATATAATTGAGATACGTAACGATAATCACATAGAGTTAGGGTTAAGCATTTCATTAGTTGCAGGTATGTATTTTTACTAAATTTCACCTGGTGTGATGTCGTCTAAATGAGCTGTCGGTGAAGTGATTGTCATTGAATCAATACGGACCCATAATTAAATTGACTCAGCCTTGAAAATTTAAAGATTGAAATCTTGTTTTACGACTAAAATTATTAGGGCGAAAAAGTGACATAATAACGTTACAAGAATCAGACAATGTGCATATTTTTGATTCTTACATTTATTTTAATACATGGTTCACTTTTATTATGGTTTATTTATGCTATCTTTAAAACAATTCTTGATCACCTTAATTTATTGTCCCTTAATTATAATTAAAAGCTAATATACTGTATAGATTGAACTACTTAAACGCAACAAGATTTCAGGCTTTAAATTTTCAAGCCTGAGTCAATTTAATAAAAATTCAGAAGACAAAAACTTCGCTCCTTATTGCTTTGCACATTTTTTATATAAGGCCACGCAAAGTTAATTTTTCGTTTTGCATAACATGGTATTTCAAAATTCCGGTCGGCGGGTCGGATTT